ATCGCTCGAATAATCGATATTAAAAAAAAAGTAGAGATCTCAATGTAGCCGCAAAAGTTTGCGTTATGCCGACCTCAAATTGTCTCCGATTGTGAAGTGACAATTCGGCAAATGGACTCTCGATTAAATGGAAAAGTGATTATGCAAAACGCGGACGTTGTGATCACTCGTGACGATGATCGGGTGACGATGCTCTTTCGCTCCGACGAGAGGCTCGTCGGGGTGCGACGCTAATTGGCGATCGCGCAGAAAACGAGACTACACTCGAGAGAATCGACGCCTCGTTCGGCAGGGTGGGGAAGATGCTCGGGCATTTCGGTAGCAACGAGAGCATATTGGGCTATCTCACAGTCAAAGGTACAGACATCAACGTTTTTTCTGAACTCACAGAAGGAATAAAAGCTTGAAACAAATGAAAATAGATAATTAATCAATTTGCAACAGATCCTTGGAGTTCTTAACAGGAATGCGAGACTTTCGAGATAGGCAAAGAAATTAGCGGTTTTAATAATAGTAAATAACAGTAAAATTAACGATGTTCTTTATCGTATCAGCAGTGTTGATAAGACTCAATAGTTGTCTTAATTATAATGACAAGAATTTTAACAATTCGAGTGTCCATTATCAGTTTTATTATGCGAAGGGTGATTAAACGCCTAAACATTCGCATCGTAAAAATTTATTGTGATGATAAGCGATAAGAGTCGGCTCGGTGCAGTCGTATAAGAAAAGCGCAGCTTTCTGACAACGTGCCATGACAATGTGCTCGACTAAATTTACAGCAATTTAACGCCGCGCGATGACGAGAATTCGTAAATTAGCGGCGAGCCGAGTCACACTTATGCATTCGCCTATGTGATAATTTACTCCGACTTAGAAAGCCAGTGGAAAGTTGCCTTTTATAACAATTCTTGTTACAGCAGAAGCGATAGATTGGATCAAAACTTCGCGGTCGTTTTTTTACTCGTTGGACGTTTATTTATTAGTCTTTATAGCTATTTATATTCACACATTGTGCATGTAACTGAGATGTTTAAATATATCAACATGAACTTTATATGAAATTATTCATTTTTGTTAGACAACAATTATGAAACATTTGGACATGGTAAAAACTCAAAACTATCATAAATCCTTTAATTCTTAATAGAGAAAGCTAAAATGTTGTTAACTCTTCCATGATATAATTCATGATGATAATCTCTTCATGTTTAAATCAAAGTCGTATAAATCTCGTAGGTAATTTTAAATTAAAAATGAATAAATGGGTACTATTAGTCTCTTTTTCGAAAGTTTACATAGTGAATTAAACTTTGAAAAGTCTGCAAAATTTGTATGAAAGCTTTCGGATTAATAACTTATTTGCATTAATTAACTATTTTCCTTAACTTCAAAATGTTAATTTATTCTGCGATAAGTTTTTCGTTAATTTGTTTAAACTCTAAATTTTGCAGAGACTCTGCAGATATTTATATATTATACTTGTGCAGAGATTATAAACTATTACTACAAAATTTTCTTTCATTACACATTTATTCGTCTCTCTGCATGGAAAGTATATTAGTATAAGGTAAATCTGATGACAGATACGTTACGTATGACCGCATTCCCGTGTTTACTCAACATTTATCTTTTTCCGACGACCCCTTCTCGATAATGGCGTGGCCACGAGACTCGTCATAAAAGCCGGCATTGTGCCTTTCCCCAATCCTATATATTTCCTATTTTTCTTCACCCTCTTGTCATATCATAGAAAAAGAGATCGATACGCGTCCGAACGTATATTTCTTTTTGTGCAAGCTGTCACTACAATTCTTACCACCGTAAACAAATCTAAAAAAATAATAAGAGCTACGTAAAAACGATTACAGAGCGTTTTGAGTAGCAAGCCAAAGTCCACAAACCAATTGGAAGTTCAATGCTCTTACGGAAAAATTCGTTTATTTACAAGACATCGCAGTTTAAAATCTTTTTGCATTTAACTTTCTCTCTCTGTATAATTTGCACGATATTTTTGTTCAATTTTTTTTAATATGAAAAATAAAGGAAAAAAGGTAATAAATATTCTCGATAATAGACTCGATAATTGGGAAAGCAAATGGTAAAAATTATGAATATATGCTTGTTTCTATATTTTACGTGCTAATAAAGTGTCATAAGTTGAGAATGTAGTCTGTGATTATCTAGGACGGTCCGCCTTCTACGGTAAACCTTGGCAATTAAGCCAAGACAACTTAAATTTTCCCCGAGACGAGAGAACTTAGACTGAAGTTAACACACAATTTCGCGCTCTTTACACTCCGCCAGATTACTTATAAAAATTTTGCATAATTCCTTTATTATCAATTCAAATTAGTCATTCCCTAATGGAAGGTTGGCTCCGTTATTAAAGAAAAATGCTCAAACTTTTTGCATTTCAGCATTTTCTTCTTTTGCAGTCTGTTTTTTGAACTCTATTTTAAATACGCCGGATAAAAATTTTGCTTGCGAGTTTCGCACGCTCTCTTTCTTTTTTTCATCGTGGACTCCGTCATCAAAAGCGATCGGTGACGTCGTTCGAGGGAAGATGGTCAAAGAGCACTCGTGTCGAGAAGCCGTGACTCACATGTTCCCGTCCATGTCTTCCGAATGCGAATGACCAGTTGATCCACGTCGAGGTGTTTGCGAACCACGACGGAGTCACGATGCGTACGCGCAACTTTGCCGTAACGGTAGTCGCCGGGTACAACTCGCAACTTGCGCGTTGTTCGCGCCTCGTGGAAAGTGCGTTGCACACGCACACACATATACATACATACATACATACCAGTTTCATTTTCATTCACCGCACTTCGTAACTCGTTTGAGGAACGCTGCAACGCACGGTGCGGATTCCCCGCGTGTACATATCATCCGCACTTCTATTAATTCTCCAAAGCTGACACATTTACAGCTTGGTATTACAATACGCGCTATTGCAACTTCACCGTCTTGATATATGCGTCACAAATACGAAAAAAAAGTCTTATATAAAGATTATCTGATACAACTTTAAGTGTGACAGCTGCGTAGGTACATCGTTCTCGTATTTAACGAAGATGCAAATTAAAGCGGATTAAACCGACATTAATTTTAATGTGTAATCCGCAAACTTTTCTTGAAATAAAAAACTTCTTCTGTCCAAGACAAAACTTGCGTCGCAGATCAACTGGAATTATCAATAATTAATTCGTAGTTCCCTCGGCGATTTCCTATCGCGAACAACGTAGACCGGACAGTGCGTGAGAAATTCGAGGCGGACACGAATCTGCATGATAAACGTTCGCGAGATTCCTCGGTTTCTCTTTCGCATTCGCAACGTCGACGTCGGCGGTTTCACGGTAACGTCGCGTCGCTCGTGACGATTCGCGCGGCGATATCGTTCGCATTCCATGGGGTGCACGTCACTCACCGACGACCGCGGCGTCGTCGGCCGAGGAGTCGCGTTCTGAAAAGTTGCAGAAAACTGCACACTAAACTACATGCGCCTGTACTCATCGCTTGTAATCATTAAGATGCAACAGAATGTACTAAAAGATTAAAAAAGAAAAATAAGAACCGTCAGAATTCAAATTTAAACGCTGAGGTGTGTGTGCGTGTGCGTGTGTGTGAGAGAGAAAGAGAGAGAGAGAGAGAGAGAGAGAGAGAGAGAAAGAGTTTCAATGTTAAATATAATTCGATTATGGAAATATGATATAATTCTATTTTATATTATTGCTATCTCTGACAGAACATCATCAAAGTTTCAACAATGTGCGCTTTCTTGCAGTGACCTTTAAATATCACCTTAATTTAGTGGCCTCTCTGAATGAATGAAATTAAAATAGCCTTGTATCATTGATTTTACGACTGTTACGTAAACTTTCTCTGACTAAATCGTCTCGACTAATAAAAGTTATAAAATTACACGAAGATTCTGATATGCTTATAATTTTCTTGATGAGCTTGAGAAGCTAACAGCCTCGCCGTGGCCACTTTACATTGATCATGAAAGTAGTCTTGACACTAATTCGCACATTATCAATTAATCGCGCCGCACTTTTTCGTAGCGACCTGACACACTCACTTGCGATATCACCAAAGAGAGGCGTGTTTCCGACAGTGGCCTCGTTCGCTCTTTTGCGACTCAACGCAGTATCACGCCTACCGTGAATTGTACAAATTCATATTACTACTCACTTCCAACGTTGATTACGAAACGTTCCGCGAAATAAGTACGACTACGTACGCTTCGATTCTAGTTGAAAATAACTCTTTTAGATTATTATTTTTTTCTTATTTTTTTCAAGTGCTTCACACAATTAAATTTTGATATTTGCACAATCATTTTACATTTGAGTTGACTATAACTGTGCACAAGTCTAAAATTACATTATTTCCTTTGTTGTATCGATAATTAATATTATTTCTGATACGAGTTTACATCGATAATAATCAGATTTTCCAAAGAAAAGAATAATATTTCCCGCAGATCTCAAATGATATAATATCACCGTGCGAATGATAAAATTCTCTCTCAGTAGAATATGATATTTTGCGATAGCCATATTCGTCGGGTTTTCGAGCAGCGTACGTGTGCACTGCTGCACACACCATTCGCGTGCGAGATACTCGGCTGAATTGCCGCCTGCTAATTTCGCTAATTGCTGTGACGAGCTCCGTGTATGCGTGCTATCACATCCTGATAGCGGTACGTGTATACGTGTAATTATGACGTATACACGACGCGTGCGTGTATCAGGACAGACGCCGGAGATGCACTCGAATTTATCGTTTATCTTTTCTTGAAAAATCATGGCGAAGTCTCTCAGTCGACTTGACGACTCCCAGTCGTATAAAAGAGATAATACACATTTAAGATAAGAAACGAGCAATTTATGGACCATTATTTTTTATTGTAGTTACGCAGAGTGATAATGTATTCGTTTAATCTTTTTCTTTCATCGTAAAATGTGAAACATACATGCATGATATTTTTGTAGATTCCCAGGATGTCGACCTGGATGCGATCCTCGGTGAATTGTGCGCCTTGGAGCGACGTTGCGACGGCGACATCGCCGCCACTCCGGCGCCAGATTCACAAAGATCAGGACGACCCACCAGCGCAAGAATCAATCCAGGCGACAGTACTGATATCAAAAATGAAGGAGGTACGTTTTTTGAATGAATCAAAAAAATGTTCTAACGACATATTCTTCATATTTATCGTAATGCTAATGTTTGATCTTGTTGCAGGTATGCGCACCGATAGTCCCGATAATGATAGTGCGTTCTCGGACACAGTGTCCATGTTATCCAGCGAAAGTTCGGCAAGTAGTAGCGGCTCCGGACACAAGCCACCTCAGACCGCCATGCACACAGCTCCTCAGCAACAACCGCATCAGCTTGTCGGTGAGTAACATTACATCGATAACTTCAGATTATTGATTGGGTCATTGATTTAATTGAAATTAATTTAAATTTTGTTAAATCCTTTATTTCTTTCATTTGTTTTACGCGTGAGCTATTTGATTCGTTTTAAAATACTTGAACGGCAGATATTCTATTTTTAATTGTATTTATATTTATATCCGATATAGGATCGTGAGTAAATTTGTTTGTAATTATCTCTTCAGATGCAGCGAGCAGAGCGAAGGCAGAGAAGATCCGCCTGGCGCTGGAGAAGATGCGCGAGGCGAGCGTACAGAAGCTCTTCATCAAAGCGTTTACGTTGGACGGCAGCGGTAAAAGCCTCTTGGTCGACGAAGGGATGAGCGTCGCGCACGTGTGTAGGTTGCTCGCGGACAAAAACCACGTGCCAATGGATCCGAAGTGGGCCGTGGTCGAGCACTTGCCTGATCTCTTCATGGGTGAGTCTATTATCTTCTATTTGCCGACCGCTAATTGCCAGTCTGGTGACGCAACAATCCTTGTCCGATAGACAATATTTACACGCGACATTAATTTTTAATGCTAACATCCTCGTTTTTCATCGATATTTGCTAGCGCTTGAGATGCCTCTCTTACGCTCACGGTAAAAGGTATTATTAAAAAAAATATTAGATAAATAAATTCTATATATATTATTATAAAATTATCAACGTAATATTTATATTATACGCCTTCAAATGACATGCAGTGCCATTATATCTTTTTCTGAAATACATCGTAAGTCTCAGGAGATAATTTTATAGTACTATCAGTGTCGGCCTGTAAAAACTAACAAGATGTAATCAGCAAAGTATTAACGAAACTTTCAGAGAGGGTTTACGAGGATCACGAATTGTTGGTGGAGAATCTTTTACTATGGACCAGGGATTCCAAAAACAAGTTGCTCTTCGTGGAGAGACCAGATAAAACACAGCTATTTCTCACGCCCGAGCGATTTCTTCTTGGTCCCACAGATCGTGGCGGCGGCGAGTACGACGACCACTCGAGAAATATCCTATTGGAGGAGTTCTTCTCGAGCAGCAACGTCGGCGTGCCCGAGGTAAGTGACGGGACGACGTGTTTACGATCTCATTGCGTCTTGGCAACCGGACCGAACGACTGCAACGAGTTCGTTGACATACATCCCACTTCTCCTCTGCATCGATTACCATTCGCCTTCCAGGTCGAGGGTCCGCTGTACTTGAAATCGGACAGCAAGAAGGGCTGGAAGAGGTATCACTTCATTCTACGAGCCTCTGGTCTTTATTACTGGCCGAAGGAAAAGGCGCGCACCGCTCGAGACCTTGTATGTCTGGCGACCTTCGACGTTAATCAGGTTTGTCATTTTTACACTCTTTCTCAGTCAGCGATATATCATAGAATAATCCTGATTGCAGATATGTTTTATTCATTTCTTATTCTATTCTTTACGATAATTTTTAGCAGTTGTATCCATTATATGTTATCATAATTAATTTTTTATCTTAAAATTATACGATCTTCTCCTTTTGCTATAATATCATTCATTAATCATGTGAGTTGATTTCTATAAAGAATATCACTAAAATTATTAACCAGGTTTATTATGGCGTCGGCTGGCGGAAGAAATACAAGGCGCCCACCGACTTTTGCTTCGCCGTGAAGCATCCACGACTGCAACAACCCAAATCCACCAAATACATCAAATTTCTCTGCGCGGAGGATAATGCGTCTTTGGAGCGATGGATGGTTGGCATTCGCGTTGCAAAATACGGCAGGCAGTTGATGGAGAATTATCGGGCGCTCGTAGATGAGCTAGCGCAGGAAGATTTGGACTTGCTGGCACATGCCAGATCGTGCTCGGTCAGTTCTATTGCTACACCACCAAATCAGACCCAGTATAACACGACGAATGACAACGCCAGACAGTTCGCGGAGAATGTGAGGCACAATAACGAAACGACAGTCGCCACGACGAGGCAATACGATGGCCAGAGACAGAGTTACAATCCGGAACAACGGCAGAGTTACAACAATGACGGCAGGCTGAGTAGAGCGAGCAGCTCCAGCTCCAGCGGATGTTTATCTGATGGGGCACCGAGTAGTTGTGAGGTGAATATGATTTAATGCTATTTATCGCCGTATTAACGATAAGTCTATTATAAAAAAAAATTATTACATACTATTATTGCTGTTGCATCGCAATTATCAAATACAATTATTTAATTTTTGCATATTAATCGTTCGGCAGGTGGCTTTTGAATGCGGTGAGTTTCCAACTGGCACGATAAAACGGAAACCATCTATGAATCCGAAGTTACCTCTCACATCGATTACGAGGCAATTGAAGGAAGTCGGCGAAACCGTTCGAGACGAACCGGACTCTTGTCCGAGTCCAACGAGCTCGGGATCTAGTACGCTAACTAGAAGGCACAGTCGTCGACGAAGTGGTACTGACTCCGACGGGTCCGGAACATTGAAGAGACATCATAGATCCGGAAACGCGACACCCGTCAGCCCGGTACCACCCGGCACGCCGGTGAGGGAGAGGGCGAGTCCTATGGGATACAGCAGATCGGAGAGTCAAGATTCGAAGACGCCGACGAGTCCGATACAAGCGTGCATGGTAATTTATATTATTAAGAAATTTAATATGTACGGATTTAAAGTTTATTCGCTACATAATGAATAAATTTGTGACCTACAGATGGATTCGATTACTTCGCTGCCACCGCCACCATCGCCGTCGAGAGTCGTCGAGGAAGTCGAATCCGACAGCGAACCGCTTCCGCCGCCACCTCCCGAGATGTTCCGATCGAATCTTTCGTTGGACTCTCTGCCACCGCCGCCGGCACCCGGCGAACTTCCGGTTTGCAACACGCCGGAGCTCACGGGCTCCTCGTTGAGTCTGGCGTCTCTGCCACCACCGCCCAGCCCGCTCGTCGGTGAAACCGGAACGATACGTCGCGCTAGACCCAAGCAGTCCACCCCTACGAACTCTGTGACTCCCGAGAGCACGCCCACGCATAATCCCAATCCTAGGTCACAAGCCAATCAAATATATACAAATAATATCGCGCTGAACAGTAACTCGGTCCAAAATTACAATTCGAACGCGTCCCCGAACGCTCATAACGTGAACAACACCGCCAATTCAGTACCCTCCCCGCACAGTTCCTATCCAGGATCGACGGCAAGCACGCCGACCTACGCCCCGAACTCGCCTAATTTCACATCGCCACCACCCTTCGTGCCGCCACCGGCTTATGGCACTCAGCCGCCAATTACCAATTCCCAGAGTCTCGGCCGGCAAAATTCTAAGGTCGAATCGATATATCAGTCCGGTCATCATAACACGATCCAGCCGATCAGGCCGAATCCCAACATGGACACCGTCCGACGTAGCGCTATGAAGCAAGGAACTGGCCATTACGCAGCGCCGCCTTATCTGGCCGAGTTAAAGGCCGCCTCCAGTCCGCAGCCGCAACGACGAGTGACCATCCAGGAACCGCCGACGTCGCCCAAGTCAAAAACCGGAACTGGCAAGAAGATCTCATTCAATCTGCCGCCCCAGCAGGAACCCGGCAGTCCCGCGTTGCCGCAAAGAAAGCCGACGCCGCCTAGAAGATCCGACAGCACTAGGCTCACATCACCGAAGAAGTTGGCGGCGTCTGACCAGGCGCCGCCGGGCGATTTTCTCAAGGACCTTCAGAGGGTAATGAGGAAGAAGTGGCAAGTTGCGCAGAAGTGCAAGCTAGATTCGACGACGACGCCGCACGAGGTGCTCGGCTTCCGGGATCCACCGCCCGCCGTGGCCGACTACAGAGAGACCAACGTGTCCAACTGGGTACAGGAACACTACGGCGCGGACAATCTGTACGAGAATGTATACGCGACGGATCCCCACGGACCGGTCGAGTACGCGTCCAGCCCGGCTCGGCAGACGACGGTACGGTTCGCCGATGAGAATCGTAGCATGAACATTGTCAATGCGATCGCTGGCAAGAGGCGGCCGCCACCACCGCCGCCCAAGAGGGCCGAAACCACGCATCTCACGACAACCAGGGCGATGCACTGACAATAGCAGATAATTCAGCCCCATCCCGAGAGGCGATGGTATTGCTGTCTCTGCGGTTGGTGGAAGGAATGAAAATGGTGGCGGGGGACGGCTCCGTCGACGCAATGCTTCGTCGCTGTTTCGGGATGTTGGGTACATCGAGTCCAGCTTGCTAGAAAGATTTGTCAATGGAAGATGAAACTTCGAAAGATATGTTTCTCCAGTAAAAAATAGGTTGTATGGTTTCGTTGCCGAGCTCTGTATTAAATCTTAAGAGTCGAATAAGAAATTAAGAAAGAAGAAATCGTTTGGATAACGAAAGTTAAAAAGAAAATATTCGATTCTGAACGGCTCTGTAATAAAGAATAGAATTGACAGAATCTATAATATCTCTATGGATATCTATATGGACAAAGAATCGTTCAAATTAAGCAGCAACGAGATTACGAAAAGTTTGAAATTATCACGACAAATCGTAAGTGCAAGAGGATGAATGTCGACGAGCCGTCCTTACCAAAAGTTCTCCTTGACCCGCGTAAAGTAACTGCCGTTTAGAGCTGAACCGAAAGATGAATGACGTAAACGCTCTTTTGAACCGAGCAACGAACTGAATTGAATTCGAGCCCGCGACAGAGATTCGATGGCGTTATGGCCGATCAAAACATAAGGAACACTGCCGCACATACGAAGGATGTGATATAAATCTTAAGCACTATGCCCACGATCTAAGGATCGCGTGAAGAAGAGGAGGAGGAGAAGCAACGTGACAAAACGCACGATTTTTTAGGCAAGACGTAGGGATTAATTGACGATTTTATGCAGAATGAAGAGTTCTGTTTGTACGCAAATTTTATAACCGCTAACTGCCTCGTCTGCGATTTTCTCAAATATACTTGGATGTGATAAATAATATAAAATAACAAATATAAATATATATATATACGAATAATCTGTTCAAATATTCCCAAGTTTTTTTTTCTTCAAAGAAATAATAATTTTTAATAATTTTACGAGTCCAACATTTAATAAAAAATGAATTCATTTGGCATTTACCTCGAGAGGACATTGCTCCAAAAATATCGCGAAGATATTTTACAATACATACTCTAATGATAAAAATGGGGATAAAGATGTAATATACTATATATATTTTGTCTCAAATTTTCGCTTAATTAAATTTTTCGTAATAAAAAGCTTGATAATTCGGACTGTATTCCCAAAGAGTATGAAGGGAATGCATGTTCTGTAACGCGTAAGCCGCAGCGCTCAAGGAAATCCCGAGAAAGTCGCCGCGAAGCGAATTTGATCTCAGCTCGAACTGGAAGCTCCCCGATTTATCACAGCGCGAGTGTTTCAACGGTGAAGAATACAACTTTATCGGGCATCTTCTATACGACTAGAGCGTCCTTTGCGATCACATCCTTGTGCATAGGTATATATGTATATAAACTGAGTATGTACGCGCGTTTACATCGCTATATCGATTTGGATGCTGTATGTGTAGTTGTATTATATTATACAATCGGAGCACGCTTCATGATATGGAACACGATGACGGGATTTACGATTGTCCGTACGTTTATTGATTGTACCCAATAGAACTACATGACGATAATTTTTCTCGCTCGTCATCGGAACGAACTGTGCGTGACGCCTCGTGACACGAGGACGCGAGATCTCGTTTATGCCATTTTCCGTTTCTTTTTCGTTCGATAACGGAGGAAAATTGACGACGTCATTCTGAGAGCCAGACGGATCAAATGAAAAAAATATCGAAATTCTCGTGAGTCTCCGAACTGGTTAACTCTAGGAGGCTAGATAGATAATAAATTTCTTGAATACTTTAAATAAAATCGCCGAGGAACATGCGAACGTGCTAGGTATCCGTATTCGCTGAATCCGTTTATCTTGGTGATTTAACTAACTTTTTCTCTTATTTCAAGTATTCGATTTCTAGAATTAGTCAAAGAAAAATTCGATCCAGATGCGTGCAATTGTCTCGTGTCGCCGACCGGAGAGAAAGCGAAATATATGCGTCGAACGATCGCGAAGATCGTCGCGCTGGCCAATGATGAGGAACAATATCGTGCATAGCTTCCCGTTTGTGATCACCAATGGAATCTTCAGCAACGACTAGCCGAGCCTTTTTCAGGGTCGCGTAGCTGATGTAGTTTTATATCTCGATTTGTATCGCGTTTGCATGACTTACATGTGAAAGTTAACGACTCTTCGGACTCTACAAAGCATCTGTATCGTCGAATTTTTATATACGAAACCGGTAGCCGCTCGAGAAAGCCCGTTCGTGCGATATTCAACCCGTAGAAAGTATTTTATAAGATCACAAATTTTGATACACAGAAATATTTCGCCGTAGTTATACGCGAGTATATGGATAGGAAACTGCAGGGCTCAGCATTACGAGTGTAGTTTTTCGACCAATTTTTCGAGCCGACAAACTATTTCCAATTTTTCATTTTTTTTTTCGACATTTCCGAGAAGATCATATCCACAATAATCTCTCCATCTTTCTAAAATCTATACTGCGTGTATGCGGGATACTGTAAGTGATTTGTCGACCTGCCTGCGGTCGACAGATCACTTTTGATTTGTCAACGTTTTTAAATTCCTAAAAAAGAGTATTCACGCCGTGCCTGCGCGCGAGAATTTTTTCAATTTAAAAAAAAAACCTGCCGTGTACGACTGTGGATTTTCCAGTTTTATAAAGATCGCGTCGTTTTTTAATGCGCAATCATGCAATTTTTACGATTTTCACGCCGTGCCTGTGCGCGAAAATTTTCTCAATTTTCAAGGAGATCCGCACGATCTCGTATCCGGACGTGCTCCCTCGAGCGAGCGCCGTATAAGCGAGCACGAATCTGCGTGCTGTAACACAATCGAATTACTTAATAATAATAGCTAAAGACTAACTTAAAGTGGAACCGTTGATGTCGATTTAACTATATCTCCGCCTTACGCGCGGTTTAATCAAACTGAACCAATAATATAAATGCATTTTTGAGACTAATATATCGACTTTACAGAGACTAATGACCTTTTTCATACGAATTTCTAAAATATATTTTCCGCGAGTATGAGTATCAGTGGCCTCTGCACTTGGAACGCGACTCGCGAAATCTTATTTTTCAAATAATTTCGTTTCGAAAAGATTTCAACAATCTCTACATTTTATATTAATTAATTTTTTATTTCGTTTTTATTTTTAGATCTAATTTTATTTCTATCGTGATTTGAGATGGACTTCTATATTTATTAGCGATTTATTAATCACTCTAACATAATTTTCTTTTCTATTCTGAAGAAATTTTGTAATTTTTTTCACATTAAAATAAGTTCTCACAAATTCACCGCGCGTTCACGTCGCCGACTTATTCCAAGTGAACTGGAAAGAGGGACTGGTACGGGACTCGTTGGGAATGCTGGCGCGTGCCGAGATGAAAACTTCTTTTGTATCCGTACTCCTTAAGAAACTTTCGCCAAGCTGAACACTCCAGGCAATCTGTGTAGGTAGCTTTAGTATTCGATGTACGCGTGCTGCCCGCTTGACTTTCGTGGGATGGATGAGTTAATCGACCGTCCATTTCTGATGAACAATAATTTGATTGAAGCTTTCGCGTTCAGATTAGTGCGATTGGCAATAGGAATCTATAGGGAACGAAGTCGAGAAAGCACAGCAATGTTTATAATGGTTAACAGAATAATAACATTTTGATTATTGTATTCGGGGCCGGCTTAAAAGATTAATCAATGATTAGATCGAAGTCTACGAAGTTAAAAATAAGTGGAAGAAAGTCGTTTATTGCGAAACAGGTTTTTCTTCATTATAACAATTTTTACGAGTAGATTTAGCGAACGAAAATACGTTTTTTTTTTGCATTGAAGAATCTTTATATGAGAATTGAAGGGAGCTTTTTTTGAGCCGGCTTTTTTTCGATTGCATACTCTAAGTTGTTCGTATAATGTTCTGTAAATATTGTAATGAATGATATACCACGAGGAAAAATTATTGTCGGTGATGTCGCGCGGCCGAACAATACGATACAAACGTGTTTACGTTGTTTGTGAGAAGTAAAGCGAAGGAGATGAGAGTGAGCCTTCGAAAACTCTTTGGAAGGGATACGAATCTTGCTACGACGGAGCTTCACTGCGTTTGATTTAATCAATTGTTTCGGCTAGAGAAGATCGCTTCGGTCAGTTATCGCGAGGACGAGAGACCTCGGACGCTGCGTTCGCATCGCTATCAGGTCGATTCGATGTAGCTTAACAGTTAGACTTTAGGTCGTACTGCAGGTTGTTTCGGATACACTCTGTGCAGATGTGTGTTTAAAAAAAATTGTGACAATACTGACATTATTTCGTGAACGAACCCGACGCCAGTTGTTTAGGTATAACGCGTACCGAGCGAACAAAGAAATGCGCAGCAGTTGAAATATTATAGGTATTATATTCATGTTTTTATGTAAATAAATTTTTGGTATATTTCAATGGTCGACGACCATCTTTTCGTTCCCTCGCATCCCTGTCGTTTTAATATATATTTATCATAGAAATCGGACGCATGTGTCGCTACAGTGCAATTTTTATTCTTAAAATTAATTTGTAATAATAATGTTTTTTGTAATACGAAAATTGTTATTGAGGATTCTATCAATTCTCAATTACCGACAGTAAATGAAGATTTCGAAGAAATATTATTTTTCTATAAAAATTTTGTTTTGTGTATCACGATAATTTTAATATATTATGTGTATGAGAGAAAAAATGTATTTATTTAAGTTTTTATTTGATATTTTTATATAGTTTGACGTTTAAAATATCTTCCAATTTATTAACCATCGGTAATACTAACTGTTGGTCATAAAGTAAAAAGCCTTTTGTTTTAGATATATAAATATAACAATAAAAATTAAATATTACAAAAAATATTTATCCATAGACATTGCACGTTGCAATACTTTACAGATTTTTGTAAACTCTACTGACTATATTTCTAAAATTGATCTGAAATATCTGAAAATCTTCATTGCACTACAACATAACGCACGATTGTCGGAAAACAATTTTGATTTCTTTAATTTACGCTTTTTTATACGTTTTTTATATATAATTATTATTTTTTATACATCTTTTCCATCTTTTGCACGAACTTTTTTGACATGATTCTCTTTTCTCTCTTTCTCTCTCTCTCTCCTACCTTCTCCTCCTTTAAAATTTCAAACCGAGTGCTTACCCTTCTGCCGGCGGGCATATAAGTGGCAAAAAGGTGCGCGCTTCCGGTCATAAAAGCGCCTTAATAAAAAGCCCTCGTTTTTAATATTCTCAAGCCGTGTGTGAGGGACGTGCTCGTAGATACACATAAACTTGCGCGGTATTGAATTTTCCAGCTTTTCTCGCCGCGTAAGCCAAGCTTCGTCGTAAAGCTATGGTTCTCTCTTCTTTCTCTTTTTCTCATTCTCCCTCTCTCTCCTTTTTTTATTCTAATACATTAACGATAGCCCTCGTGTCAGCGAGCATGATTCATAATTCATCTGTCGCGTTCTTTGTTAGTGATTCTTTGTCGCGACCGGCTCGCAATTAAGTTGGCCCGATAAAAGTTTGTGATAAGAACGACCATGTTGAATCACTTGACTTGACGTCGGTTCGTAGAAAAATCGATTAACAGACGGAGTATTTCATTCGTATAAATGAGATACTTATTGCTACATGCATAACCGGATAAAGTCGCATCTAAAAAAAAGGATGAGATCACTAAATGTTCAATATACGAGATTGAAGCTACATTACGTTTCGTTTCAAATTACTGTCTGTTAACTCTTAATTCTTTCTATCTTTATTCTACTTTAATTAACTTATTATACAATTTTATTTTTAATAGATTCATAAGAGAGCCCCGAAAACAAGAAAGAAGTCGCGTCTGATTTTCTTTCAACAATCTGACCTTTTTCTCGCATCTTGTCGTTAGATCAATTTTTGATAAAAATTCAATGTAGCGATTCAATGAAAGACGAGAAACAGCCACACGCGTACATTGAATTATTTCATAAATTACAGAAGTAATTAGATATCTTATTATTGAGCTGTAATCAATCATCTTGATCCCGGATTATCAAGCTAATTACACGTGTCTTATTTCGCTTGCAAATGTGCCACGTGCCAAACATGTCGAGTTTGACACTCAAGTCCTTAGAAGTTCCTCAACTCAAGAATAGGCCGGCAACAATATTATTGACAAAGCATCGCTTCTCAGAGAGACCGAAGGACTTGGTGAATAATATTGCAAATAATAATTGGCGGACAATTATTTGCAAGCTGGAGCGACTTTTCCGCAAAGTTATGGCGATCGTACGTTATGTGCGGCGCGTTCTACTTCATAACATAAGGAAGATTGACGTAAATATATGAAATTGCCGGGAGAGCGAGGGAGAGGGGGGGTTACCATTTTATGGGATTCTTTTTACGACTTACGGCAGTCCTGCGTTCTACTTTGCGTTTACGTCATGCGCGACCCTCGAGCGTTTACGCGCGCCGCTATTGCGAGCACGAATGGGGGGACGAGGGGGTCGTGGCGGAGACTGTTACGCTCTCACCGATATCGAGTGTGCTCCCTCCGAAAAATTTCCGTCTTCCTTGCTTTCCAAATTCTGTAAAAGTGTCCCACGTGCGCACATAAAGTGTCCCTCTCTTCCTCCTCCTCATTGCTTCTCTGCCTCCGCGTTTCGAGAGCCGTAACTTCGTGCGCGATCCTCGCGACGCATAGCGCGATGAAATTGCGTTAATAAAATATTATTATAGTCTATCAAATTGGCCAACGCGCGGATTTCGATATTATAATAAAAGTATTAACGGCGCAATTAATTTTAAGGGCTGTAATCTAGGAGCTGGTACGAGCTTTAAACCGCAGATTTGACAAACTCGAGAAAATGAAAACTTTACTGCGTATGAAGATAAGAAAAGATATAACGATAACATTTTATCAACATAAAAGAGGAATTCTTTTTTCGTAAATCACTATAAATGAACAGTGTCCGCATAAATACGCGCATAGCGATGCTTCCGATGTTCCCCGATGAATTCACGAGAATAATATAATCCTCGAGAAAGGTCAGAGTGCGCCGAAAGGCGTTGACGGCGGCGTCGTTCCCGTCGTCTTCGACCTCGACGTCCCCGCGAACTACAAGAGAGAACGGGAAGACGAGGAGGGCGAGGAGCGCAGCGCGGAATGAAGCGTTTGAGCGGCCCGCTTTCCAGGAACACGGGCGTAAATCACGATTTTATTGCAGATAATTTTACGAGGAGTAGAGCTCGCCGACACCGCCGTTGCCGCCGTCGCCGCCGTCGCCGTCGACGACGACGACGACGACGCCGAGTTAGCTACTTTAAACTGGTAATCGCGCCACTTGCTCAAGAACGTGCCAAACTCGTCGCGCCGCGAAAGATCGTTAGCGAAATAGCGGAACGAGGTGATCCCGGCAAATAATCCCAAGCGGAAAAAGAAGAGAAAAACGATTTCTCGTTTCTCATGCTGATAAAAAAAAAGATCGGGAGCGAAAGGTGCAGTAATTTTTTTTTGTTTGTTATTTTTACTTCTTTAGAATGTCTGAGATGTATATCTTGAAAGTCTTTTTCTGAATATTCGGATGTACAGCACTTGCTATAAAAATACAAAAGTTTAAGATAATTTAGAATTTGTTTTTTAAAACAACTATCATCGTTAAAAAAGAAGGAAAAGGATTTCCGTAGGTAGTCGCGGACTGCATATTTAAAAAAAATTCCATTCTGCACTGTAAGGAACTGAGATTAGTGTCTTGCTAATCTTAAGAAAGTGCCACGTGCATCGTAAACTGCTATGAAAAATCCATGATATTCTTTTTTCGATTCTTCTAATAATTCTTAAGAAAACAAATATTTGTACAAAATGCGAGGATTAAAGTCCGCTTAATGCTCGTTCCAAAAATCAGAATTTATCTGAAATAATACCGCTATCTTCCGTACAGCTGGATCTGTCAAAACACTTCTCCAATTAGCCCGGACTCAATTGTCAGGCGCATAAATCAAGGCTTTAAAGGAGCTCTCAGGCCTAAATTAATAAAAAGCAAAATAACGAAATTAGAAAAGAAACCTCAGGGGTGGCTCCCGGAGCTCATTTTTCCGCCGGACTTTATCGACTTCGCGAACGAGTTCGTATATCCGGCGGCGGAGTCAATTAAGTTTGATTACCCGAAAGTTCGGTGAGAGCCGAATCAGCATAAATTCGCGGCACCCTCGACTCCTGACATCGCGATCGCACGTCTTCGTCCATGCGGAGTTTCGACTTGCCACTTCTCGTCTCCTCTTTCTCGTCTCCCCTTCTCCGCCGCCCTGCCGTCCCCTTCACTCCTGCGGCGGAAGTGCCGCCGGCTTTACGATCGCCGATACGGGAGACGTTTTACCGGAATTAAGATTCCGGGGCGGAAAGGAGAAAGGGGAAAGACGCTCGCGCCCCGATCTTGTCTGACACTTTAAGCGTCTCGTAAGTCCGCGGGAGAGCGCGTAAATTATTCCGGCGCGACGCACGTCGCTTCTTATAAACGCTTCCATTTACATATAGGCTGATTTTACAGCGGTATAAGCGTTTTACATTATCCCGTCATAAAACTTGCGGATACACATATCTAGACCGTAGAAACCCTTTGCGAGGAACATGCAAAAACGCGCGGTACAAGCTGTCGCGTTTTTCATATGTGCACATTTCGGTAAGCGACTTGTAGCAAACATCAAGTATTAAATGGATTTCAGAGTCCCTTTATGAATGAAATTTTACGGATTAATATGTTATTTCAACGGTTGACAAACTATTCATTTAGAGATAAAGTTTTCTTTTACGATAAAATTTGGATGTCAGAAAGACATCCTTCAACGTTGGCAATGGCGCCAATGTTAAATACCTCGAACTGTTGCCATCCTCTTTTATCCCATCGTACGCGTGCGAAACGGCCGTGATTTCTGATCTAGGATCTTACATCAAGGATCTTGGCGACCGCAGGAATGTCGGTCAGTGTGCATGCCCCTGGCGGACCGCTGGTGGTCCCCGACTATTATTCTCGGGCCCGTACTTCACGACCTTGAAAACGACACCGCTCGTTGCGGTAACTTCCTCTTTACCGCCTACGATATCGTGTGAATGTAAATTTCGCGGCGGATGCCATTCCGGTGCGTAATGCGGCACTTCAAATTCAACACGTATTACAAGAACCTGTTTACGATCGGCGTTATTGTTTTGTTTGCTATGTAAACAATAATCATTAATTCACTCATGTTTGTTGAAAACAAAATTAATTATTTGACACGTGTTTGTACTCGTAAAATTAACATTTCTGAACAGATTAACCGTGAATTATCGAAATTAACGGAGAATAAAACTGGATGGATGTCCAATTAACAATTATTATAAAGCCATTACAATTAAGTCAACTTATCAACGTAGGTCGGTGTTGCTTTATCAGCGC